ATGCACAGGGACCAGTCACAAATATTGAATGTACTGGGGCTAGACTGAGCCAGGTCATCAATGCAAGGACTGAACCGCCAATGCTCCCCGTGCGAGGGAAAATATCATGTGCATAAGGTGTTGCTGATCAGCAAAGGAATAAATCAACGGGTGCATGGAGGCAAAGCATCTCATAATAATCATAGGCTCGAGCGCACACGGGTGCGCACTCAAATGACAATACCCAGCCTGGGCGCACATAGGCGCGTACTCAAATGATAATATCCGGCGCAAGGGCACATGGGCGCGCACTCAAACGACAACATCTAGCCTGGGCGCACACGGGCGTGTACTCCAACAACAATATCTAGCTTGGGCGCGCATAGGCGCGCACTCTCAAGCAATATCAAGCTTGGGCGCGCACTTCTCAAGCTTGGGCGCGTATGGGCGCGCACTTCAACGGCAATATCAAACTTGGGCGCGCACGGGCACGCACTCTCAAGCTTGGACGCGCATGGGCGCGCACTCTAACGACAATATCAAGCTTGGGCGCGCATGGGCACGCACTCTCAAGCTTGGGTGCGTATGGGCGCGCACCCTGACGGTAATATCAAGCTTGAGAGTGCACGGGCGCGCACTCTCAAGCTTGGGCGCGCATGGGCGCGCACCCTAACGGTAATATCAAGCTTGGGCGTGCATAAGCGCGCACTCTCAAGCTTGGGTGCGCAATATTTGGTCTGGGCGCGCGCGGGTGCGCACTTAGAAACTGATATTCTTGTCACGTGCTTTATCTGTCAGTCAAATGACAATCAATTTTTGCTTAATGTTTACAACAGGATTACCATATGCTACACTTGGCCTTTACTTAGGGCCAGACTACTATCAAAACAGTGAGTGCAAGCTCAAAATCAGCTATTTACTATCTATTCAGCTGACATGGACACTTGTACTTTGGGTCCGAAATTGGCCAGACACTGTTCAGAAATAGCACTCAAATATAGTGAGCATACTGCACACAGTTGCAAGGAAAATCAGATCTTGCCCTTAAGTGCAGCGTGCAGACTGCGCACAGTTGCAAACTCGAAAATGCGGTATACACAGTTGCCAACTCGAATATGGCTCTCAAGTGCAGTATGCACGGTTGTCAGTTCGGATATGGCCCTCAAGTATGGTATGCAAAGTTGCCAACGTGGATATGGTCCTCAAGTGCGGCATGCACAGTTGTCAACTTGGATATAACCCTCAAGTATGATATGCACAGTTGCCAAACAGCGAAATAGCCCTCAAGTGCGATGCGCATACTGCGCATTCAGATATGGCCTTCGAGTGCGGTATGCACTGTTGCCAAATAGCCCTCAAGTGCGATGCGCATACTGCGCACTCAGATATGGCCTTCAAGTACAATATGCACAGTTGCCAAATAACCCTCAAGTGCGATGCGCATACTGCGCACTCAGATATGGCCTTCAAGTGTGTGCAGGGCAGATAGCACAAATGGACCTCTAATACAGTACACAACTGCGCACAGTGGCAAATAGTACGAATGGTCCTCTGATACGGTGCGCAACTGCGCACAGTGGCGAATAGCAAGAATGGTCCTCTGATACAACGCTCAACTGCGCACAGTGGCGAATAGCATGAATGGTCCTCTGATAAGGTGTGCAACTGCGCACAGTGGCGATTAGCACGAATGGTCCTCTGATACAACTAGCATGAATGGTCCTCTGATAAGGTGTGCAACTGCGCACAGTGGCGATTAGCACGAATGGTCCTCTGATACAGCGCTCAACTGTGCACAGTGGTGAATAACATGAATGGTCCTCTGATAAGGTGCGCAACTGCGCACAGTGGCGAATAGCACGAATGGTCCTCTGATACAGCGCTCAACTGCACACAGTGGCGAA